GAAGCTTCTAGGTAGGATACACCCAGTGTTCCACGCCAGCTTGTTGAAGCCCACACCGAAGGCACCCGGTTACCGGGCCCCCGGCGAGGTGTCACCTGGGCGATATGAGGTCCAAGAGCTCCTTGACTCGCGGGTGCGGCGCGGTGGGGTCTACTACCTCATCCTCTGGAAAGGATATCCCCTATCTGAGGCCTCCTGGGTGCGGGAGGAGGACATTTCTGCGCCCAAACTGCTCCAGGAGTACCATAAGCGATTCCCCCATAAGCCCAGTGGGCCACCCACAGGTAGGCCGCCCTAGTCCGTATGCAGCACTAACCCTCTGCCGCTTCGTTCCAGGGGGACCCGTGGTAGGGGGAGCCGAATGTCAGGCCTGAAATCGCTGCTCCATGCTGCGCCAGTCTGGATGAGGCCTCCGTCTCCTCGCCTGCCTCTCTGGCTCCCAGCTGGCATTTCCTCACATCCCGTGCGGCGGCGCTCCCTCCGTTTACCCTGCCGTCGGGACGACAACGTCGGGACGTCATCGGGCGGCGCCGGGCTACAGTCTGACGGGCGGACGGCGCCAGCCTACCGATGCGTGGGGCGTGTAGCTGGACGGACGCTGGCCTGCACGGGCGCTGGGGCCATCTTTCGGGCGGCGAGCAGCTGAACGGGGCTGAGGGGGCGGGGACGATGGGGCGGGGTTGCACGGACGCTGGGCCTGACAATCCCCAGGTGTTTTCGCTGGAGGGACTGGCTGACTATGGGGGTGGTATTGGGCGGGCCTGGGACGGGCCTGGGATGGGCGGGGCTGATGGGATACAAAGCACGCTGCGAGAAAGCAACTCCCAGAGCTAACTTTACTACAACTTTGAATAAAATTGTTGTTGGTTCGCCGTTCCTGTCTGCTGGCGTTTTGTTTGGGAAAACAAGCCAGGACGGTCTGACAAATAGTAGTAGTAGTAAAGTTGGAATGGACCTTGGAGGTCATCTAGTCCAACCCCCTGCTCAGGCAGGAAACCCTATACAATTTCAGACAAATGGCTGTCCAGTCTCTTCTTAAAAACTTCCAGTGTTGATAAAATAAAATAAAAATAGAGAGTGAGCAGAAAAAACAGATAATTGAATACGAAACAGAGGAGAGAGATTTTAAGATGGATCTTAACAATAAAAAGAAGTATGACTTAACAGCCAATAGTGGACATGGAAAAGACAACCTATACTCTAAAATCACAAAAGTTTGAGGACAAGAAAAAAGATTTGACAAAATGAATTTTGCCAGGAGAACTATGAGAACTTGAGAGACAAAAAAGGATAAATAAAATCAGGAAAGAAAGAAAGGAAAAGATTCTCAATGAATACGAAGGGGCAAAACCTTTCTATAAAAACATCTTACCTGTTTTGTCTTTTGTACCTGCAACAACACTTACAAGATTTTGGGAAGATTCTTTGATTCAGCAAAACATATTGATCAAGAAAAAAAAGGCTAAAATGAGAATTAAGAAATTAGGTTGTGGGATTTACCAGAGGAAATATTTAAAAATTTAACATCTGTTTGAATATGGTTAAAGAAATACAAGATTTTGGAAATAAATGAAGATTAGTTTAAGAGGGATGAACCCCTCAAGTAATACAGTATTTTTTTCTTTTGTGTTTTGTTTTTTGACATGAGAAATATAAAAATGTTGGGATTGTTTATATAAAAGAAATGTTTTCTTTGGTTTTTTTCCCTCTTTTTCTTCTTTCTTTTTTTTAAGATACGAGAAATGTAAAAGTGTTGGGATGGCTTGTATGAGAAAAAAGACTTAAATATTTAAGTGTAATTAATTTTGAGAAAAGCTTAACCAGTAAGAATGCTTTGAATATTGTGGGAAAAACAAATATAAATAAGAATTTTGTAAACAGGATCCATGATGAGGCAATCAAGATGATCAATTAGAAAAGAAGCTTTATATTGTCCTGGTTTGGACAAAACTCAGCAGCACTTTTTCGTGCGGCTGCTGATAAAAACAGGATCGCCAACATGATCGCCAATGTCCGATAATGGATAGGGCACAAGAAGAAGAAGAATATTGATGTGGTTATTATTTGCAGAAACATGAGAAAAATGTCTATATTTAATTGTCATTTATTCAAATAATAAGAAATGTATTAATTTAAGGTTGGCAAAAGAGAATATTATTGGAAGAAGAGAAAATCAAGCAAAGCCATTATATGGATTATTATTATTATTATTATTATTATTGTTGTTGTTGTTGTTGTTGTTGTTGTTGTTGTTGAGGGGGTAAGCTGGGAAAGATGGAAACTGAATTGTTTTGCTTTGGCTAGAATTGTCTTAGGGTTTGGGGCTTTTTTATCCTTTTTAACTGTGTTCCCTTTTTGAAACCTTATTTTCTTTCAACATCTTTAGTAAAGTTGATTTTCATTTCAATCCGGGAGTTGACCCATGGCCTTCTTGTATCTGCCTCAGCTTGGTTGATCTACTAACTCCCCAAACCAGACCAGGATGATTTTTATCTTCAATCCTCTTCAGTCAGATTGACTTGAATACTGATATGCCAAACCTATCAGGAAGTTACAGGCTATAAATACATGTCTGCTCCTTGAAATTCCTCACCAGAAGTTAGAAAGTCTGTTCAACACCTCAGCCCAGAGAAACTGGAACTGGAGGCTATGAGAGAGGAAGCCATGAAGAAGATGGGACTTGATCTGGAGCTGAAATGAAGGAAGATTGCTGAGAAGGAGCATCTCAGGAGAAAGAGAAGGAGACCAATACTGGTGAGAGTTGTTGAAGTTGCAACACCGTGTCATCTTCACTAACTCTCTTCTCCCCAGTAAAACCCATAGCTTTGGGGAATGGAAATACCAGTTCACAAAGAAACATGAAAGAGATGAGATTCAGAACTCACAAATTACCTGCCAAACGTACACCATGATAAAGCCCAGTCTCTTTTCTTGAAGAGTTGCTTAAGCCAAATATTGATTGACAATTGTGCTGAGGAAAAGGAGAACTACCAACAGTTTAAAAAGATAAACATTTTATTTATTTATTTATTTGATGATGATTATTGAATTTTCATTTCACTAACAAACTTCACATATTTATTTACTTCAGTTTTAATAAACATAAGTTGTCAAACAAATACAAGGGGAGCATATAAGCCCAATAATAATGCATAATTAAAAGTTATGAGCCTAAGAAACAGTTTCACAATCATTCCCCTGCTTTTGACATTAGATGTTCCTTAGTGTTTAGATCTGGTCTCAGGATGATAATGTAGCATTTGGGGAAGAAGATGCAGCCCAGAAGTCCAGCAGTGGAGGCCAAGATGGCGAAGACCTGCACAGCCACCATGTATTTTCCTTTAGTGCTCAGGTAGGTGGGGAGGAAGGAGACCCAGACACTGCAGAAGACCAGCATGCTGAAGGTGATCAGCTTGGCTTCATTGAAGGCCCCAGGCAGCTTCCTGGACAGGAAAGCCACCGTGAAGCAAATGGCAGCAAGGAAACCCATGTAGCCAAGGACGACATAAAACATGGTGACAGAGCCTTCATTGCATTGAAGGATGATCTCTCCAGGCTGGGAGTGCAGATCAGAGTCAGGAAATGGGGGAAACATTCCCAGCCACATGGCACAGATGAGAACTTGGACAGCAGAACAAGAAAGGATGATGGAGTTGGCCAAGCTCTTCCCCAACCATCTTCTCACTTTATTCCCTGGTTTTGAAGCTAGGAATGCCAGCACTACTGTGATCGTTTTGGCCAACACAGAAGAGACAGCTACTGAAAAGACAATGCTGAACACTATTTGTCGGAGAAAACAGGTGATTTTCCTTGGATGGCCAATGAAGAGAAAAGAGGACAAAAAACAAAGCAGGAGTGAGACCAGGAGGATGTAGGAGAGGTCCCGGTTGTTGGCTTTGACAATGGGAGTTTCTAGGTATTTAAGGAATATGATTAAAACAAGGCCTGTGGTTAGGAACAAGAATAGAGCAAAGGAGATGAGGATGATGCTGACATGCTCTTCATAGGACAGGAAGGTTATTCTTTTGGGGATACACTGGACTCGGTTCTTACTTGGATATTGATATTCTGGGCACTTGGTGCATTTGTCAGTATCTGAGAAAATAAAGTAATATTTCTTTTATTAACTTTAAAATTTCAAGAACATTTTTGGATAAGATGTGATGCTGAGAGACAGGAAACTCTAAGTGAATGCAATATACTTATACTCCAGCAAAAAAAAAGAAAGAAAGAAACCCAGTAGTACAACTATAAAAACAAGAACAGCAACAAAATAAAATAAAAAGAAGAACTATCTGGTGCCACAAGCTCTCTTCTCTGAGATAATCAACCAAATTCTTATTTTGCACTGACCTTACCTTATCCCAAATGGTTGGGAGAAGTAGCAAGTCTCCAGAGGTTTAAGAGGATGGGGGCCTATTGGATTGTGGGTCCAATGGGGCAGGAACTGCATCAGAAAAGGATGGCTTGTGAGGACCCATAAAGTGGGAATCTTTTAGGGAACAGTCCTTTTGCATGCCAATTATAGCTGCTCTGGTGGGACAAGCAGATATCCTCAAGGAGAGGAAGCCCTGCAGATACCCTGGCTCTGTCTCATGTAGGATTTGAAAGGTGATTTTTATTGCACTTGGGAAGAAACTGGGATTCTATGGAGCCTGTACAGTAGGGGAGTCCTATGGAAGAAAACATGGAAACACAACACTGTGTGTGCCTTTGCATTCTGGACTATTTGTAAATTCCAGCTGGTTTTCAAGAGCAACCCTATGAATATGGGATAAAAAGATAGAAAAAGAAAACTGATGGCAGAAAAAGATCTAGTGCTCCATCCAGTCTGCCCTTTGAGTTTTTTGTTTTCTTATTTATTTAATATTTTATTTCATTTTTTAAAAAGAAAATTCAGATGAAGGAGATATGTTTATCCCACAAATGTTTAAACTCAGCATCTTGATGTACTCCTCTCTTTCTCTCTTAGCATTTATATCTCTTTGTTTTAATGTTTAATTATTGTTTTAATTGCCACCAAGCGTCACTGTGTGTGGAATAGACATTAAAAATTTGGTAAATAAATTTGAAAAGACATCTTAAGGAAGATTAATTCATAAATGAACTCAAGAACAGGAACTGCATCTGTTATCTGCAGAGTCTTTTTACCCTGTAAAATCGAGAAGATGGAGCAATATATTTCTATAATCTCTAGATTTGGCAACAATTTTAAAGAAAGAATGAATTCAACATTGGTATCAAAGAATATTAAGTAGATTATATTCATACTTTCTCCCCTCTCCTTTCTGTTCCTTTTCATCCTAACTGTAGGTTTTTTTTTCTTTCAGGACCACAACTATATTCCTTTTTGTTGGTGTTATAATTGTGTGTATCTCATTATTTAACAACAAAGAAAATTGGAAAGATAAAAAAGGTAGAAAGGAAATATCCACTTGAAGGTTTTATGATGGTCCTCTGTTTGGTTTTCATTTCTTCCTTCAAACCAGCTTCTCCTCACTATTGTTCCTCCTAATTAGATATTTCAGCTGATGAGGATTTATGAATCCAGAACTTTCCCTATTGTGTCATCCACCTTCCTGAGTGGAGATGGTTCCCTCTGGACAAGGAACGCAGTCGTAACAGCAAACTGGCTCTCCTTCTCGAACCTTCTTGACAAATCCAGGATGGCATTTCCCCACACATTTGGACTGAGGCAGAGACTAAGAAGAAAAAAAAAAAACACCAGGGAAAATGTATTAGAACTCACCATCCATTTAAGGTAGATGTGAAGGTAGATGTGAACATTAGCAAAATAGGCTTTGGGTTTCAGGTGAACAAATATGAAATATCTGAATACTTCCAAATGTTTGCAGAAGATAGAATTGCAGGTAAATGCCTCATTTAGTTCCTCCCTTTTTCTTCTGGCATATCAGATTGCAAAAAAAAATAGTACATTTCTACTTAATAAAATCTGGAGAGATGAAATTGAGAAAAGGTTTGACCCAGTGGGGTCCTCCACAAAGATCTCTCTAACAAACTAAAAGACAAAAAGAAGAAATACAAAAAATGGAAAGAGGGGCATATAACCAAGGCCAATTATCAGCAGGCAGCCAGAACATGAAATAAGTCAGGAAAGCAAAGGCCCTGAACAAACAAAGACTTGCAACAGAAATCAAGGACAATAAAAAAGTTTCTTCCAACATATTAACAACAAGAAAAAAGTCAAGGAAACTGTAGCCCCACTAAAGAGAGAAGATGGTAAGGAAATTACTCTTAGGTAAGCTAGAAAAAGGTGAAATAGACAACATCACCAGCAGATTTGTGTCCTTAATAACAATCACCCCAAATCTCATATTAGATATAGCCGAATCAGCTTACAACAATATTCAACACTGTAGCATCTGAAGGATACCTGGGATAATAGAACTGAAGCCTCTGTATCTACCTAAGAAAATTATAGATATTTTACTCCACAGATTCAATTCTCTGTGAAGGTTATCCAATTTTCTGACTAGGTGTAGCCTACTTGAAATGGGTCTTTTGAGGAAAAAAGAAAAGACATCAATATTTTCTCCACCTTGTTTCGCAACTTTAGCTCTGACAAAGCATCTTGGTTGATTGTAAGTCTCTGTCTTTCAAAATTCCCCAAATGCTGGTTGATGGGATCCTCCTCAGGGAGAACCACCCTACTAAAGATCCTCAGGTCTGCTGCTACGTCTCCATTTTGATCCACATACACATTCATCAGGGAAAGATTGCACATTTCCTTCTTCTTTAAAAATGGATGCAACTAGAATGGAAACATCCAGGAATTTTAAAAGCAGTTTCTTATCTGGTTTCTTATCTGTTATCTCATTTTACATTTCAAACTTTCTTCTATGGTTGTTTAACTACATTTAGGCAAGAAAAACCAAATGCACAGGTATAGTATAGGGGGTACCTTGCTCAATAGTAATAACTGTGAGAGGGACCTCGGAGTCCTAGTGGACAATCACCTAAATATGAGCCAGCAGTGTGCTGCAGCTGCCAAAAAGGCCAACACAGTGCTAGGCTGCATTAACAGAGGGATAGAATCAAGATCACGTGAAGTGTTAATACCACTTTACAATGCCTTGGTNCGATGTAAAAAAGATGTTGAGACTCTAGAAAGAGTACAGAGAAGAGCAACAAAGATGATAAGGGGACTGGAGGCCAAAGCATAAAAGGAAAGGCTTCTGGAATTGGGTATGTCTAGTTTAATGAAGAGAAGGACTAGGGGGGACATGATAGCAGTGTTCCAGTATCTCAGGGGCTGCCACAAAGAAGAGGGTGTCAAGCTATTCTCCAAAGCACCAGAAGGCAGGACAAGAAGCAACGGGTGGAAACTAATCAAGGAGAGAAGCAACCTAGAACTAAGGAGAAACTTCCTGACAGTTAGAACAATTAACCAGTGGAACAACCTGCCTCCAGAAGCAGTGAATGTTCCAACACTGGAGGTTTTTAAGAAGAGACTGGACAGCCATTTGTCCGAAATGGTATAGGGTTTCCTGCCTGAGCAGGGGGTTGGACTAGATGACCTGCAAGGTCCCTTCCAACTTATTATTATTATTATTATTATTATTATTATTATTATTATTATTATTATTATTATTATTATTATTATTATTATTATTATTATTATTACTATTATTATTATTATTATTATTATTATTATTACTTGCAAATATTGTAAGTTCAAAGAACAAGTGTTTGCACCGTCTTCAAAACTCAAGAACAAAGGTTCAGTAGTACTTCTCAATCATACAGTATACTGACAAAAAGTATTCTGACAAGATGTAATTGACAAAAATTGTCAATTATATAGAACACTCTAGCAAAGGTCACAATCAAGTAAACAAAATATCCAAATAACTAGAGTATTCATAAACTCCTTGAAAACAACAGGGTGATCACCCGAAAGGAATAATTTGTTAAGAAGAAAGTTGCAAGGCTAATCTTCATTCAGGTAAAGGAGATAGGAAAAATGACCAGATGAACTAATTCTACTTTATTGTAAAATTACATTAACAATATCTTTCAAGTGTGAAAGTACAAATGTTTCACCATCTCTTTTGACAGTCAAAAAAATTTAGGGAGGACCTTTTCTGAGTTTCTTTCTCTGCCTGTTATGTAGCTGCGAGTTGCTCTCCCCAAAACACCAACTTATCTGATTCTTCCCTGCATCTCTTTCTCTGATCCTCCAAACTGATTCCCACATATTCTTACATTTCCTTAATAGATTATTTGAATTGTAGTGGTATAACGTGCACAGCACAGAATTAACAAAATGCTTCATGATGTCCTGAATTGGGATCTAATTAATTGAACACTGGATGGCATAATAATTAAGTAGGTACAACTATCTTAAAAACTGTAAAAAATATTTTTAATCTTACTGATAAAGGTTATCATAACTGAGGAGTTATGAAAAACAATTGGACCTTGGCCATTGATTCTTCTATATTTTCATTAATAAAGGAAACAGATAAATCACGATTTTGTGATGCAAAAATTATAATAACACCTGGACAAAGTTATTTTGATTTCCTTTAAAAAAACTAGTTTTAGCATCTAGGACTTGATACATGATTGTATCTTGCATAACACAAATGAATGGCACCAACAATCTATATCTTTCTTTAAGATTTCATTTATAGTTTTTCTCACATTATTCTATATGTAGTTACAATAAAGTGGTAGTAATATTTTAATGATCTGATAATAACCATATGATTAATTCAACAATAATGTCATTAATGACCTAGTGGAATCATTCCAGGTCCTCTTGTAGGAAACACACTTGGAGAAGACATTGCACAAAAATTTATTACCTTTAGTCAGGGACAAAGAAGGAAAGGAAGAGATCAAAGGAGATCAGGAAAGACATTAAGAAGAACAGCCATGGTGGTTTTAGAGGGGCTTAATATCAGAAGGAATCTGGGAACATTTTTTCAAATATACAAAACGTCTTGGTTGTAGAAGGGAGGATGCAATGCTCTCCCATTAAATATAAGATGTTATACAGAAGCTTATGATCTTAAACAACCAAGCTAAGAGAGCACCAAAGACCCTGAAAGGAATTTATAATTTGATGGATCCTTGTTGGGACCCCATACCTTCCATGGCTCCAGCCTTGGAGCCCCCAATCTCTCTTCTCCCTTCTTCCTTCTCCTCTGGGATTTAGATGCAGCATTTAAGGCATGGGCCAGAATCTTAATGACACTGTAAGGAACACCTGGATTTGGGATCTGC